ATGGAAACACTAATTCTCTGGGCTGTGTCACAAATGTCTGTGTAGGGTGTGATGATTCCATACAAACACAGGACTTTTGCACGCGGGACCACTGCTGGCGTTCAGTGTAAAACCAAAAGTAACGTAGGCCTATTTAACATAAAACTTTTACATCCCATATGAAACTCACCAAACTATAACCATATCACATTGTTAACACCGTATTTAAACCTGCAACTGTTTGTAATTGACTTTCCATTGGCATGGTTCCCGTGGTGAGAGTACGAAATTTTAACACATTACGTGGCACCACCATGTGACGCTGTGTTAAGAGGCTGTGGTCATTTCATAAGTTTTTGTGAGGTCAGGTTCTACCGTATGAACATGACGCTACTACCAATCAAATTTTGAACTATTGCTTTTTTGGACAGCAGCAGATGTAAAATGAAACGTTAATTTACGGATTAACATAAAATTGTGCAGGAGTGGTGTGTAACTGAATCCTTAATCTAATTCATACATAAAAACTTAAATCCAACAGAAGTAACTGTTTTGGGTTGTTTTTTTTTCACTAAAATGAGATCTTGTGACCGAAGCCAGTTATAAAATGTGCTTGAGTGAAGCCTGAATGTGCTTCAAAAATTACAGCAGCATGTAGGAGCCAGAAATAATCCCAGTAAACGTCCCTTCTGTGATTCTTGGGAGACATGTCCCATCATCCACACCCCACAGGGGCCTGCTTTGATCAAACTCTGAAACTTATGTCCTCATTTGGGCTAACACTGAACTTGACTCCTACAAGTCAACATTTAAGAAGCGCTAGCTGGGAAAGCTACGTAACATGCTCAACCACATGACCACTGAGCAGCCTGTAGTCTGAACTTGACCTTTTAACGCTTTCCTAGATTACAACACGCAGCCGTTAATATTACAGTCTTTAATATTTTACACCCTGAACATATCTGCACCCACTGTAACTGGACACTAGTAGTCAAGGTGTGTTTGGGTGTGTGCACATATGTGTGTGGGCGCTGCTGGTCCGTGTGCCACATTAGATACCCTTATTGACAGAATAAGAGGGTACATGGGAGTGTGTGCTGGTGTGGGCATGCTTTTGTGTGTGCAACCTGACACTGCCTCTCACACTCTATCTGTATTTAGCATCAGTTACCATCAGGTAGGACAATTAGTCACTGAGGAGGCTGGCCAAGCAATTAGACTGGGAGGAAGTAGAATGTGCAACACACACCCCTGCAGCACATTTGATCATTTATTTCATTAATTACTTTCCTTAAAATGGTGGAAAAGAAACTAATATCTCAGAGTACCAGTCGGATGGAGTAAAACATTGATATGCAAATGTCACTTGATCTCCTACACAAAATGAACACACACAGGCTGTTTTCACTAACTGTCTGTATGTTTTCCTCTGAAAAGTGATGCACCCAAATTCGTACATATCCTTTGTATTTTGAAAGGCTGCAGTCACATGACCAATGCGTTGACGAGAGGGTTAACAAGGAAGCAGTCACAAGCGGCCTTGTAACAATGCAGGTTGGGGTGGCTGGGTCACAAAAACCTAGACTTTCCCCTGGGACTTTAGCTTGGAGTCACGTGTGAACTTGGAATAGTTTTAAGCTACATCCTCACCATGTTTCTTTTCCTAAACCTAACCACAGTAACTTAACTTGCTTAAACCTAACCCTACATAACTTTATGTTATTTACGTATTTGTACATTAATAAGGACATAATGTCATTTGTGGGGCGCTAACTGTAGGATATAATTTGAACTGTCATACATGCATTTTCCATAGGATATCATGAGAGCTGTTCTATGAGAATATGTTGATAACACACAACAGTTTGTATGATATCCTAGGACTTTGCGGCTCACAAATGACATACTTAATGTAAAGTTATGTAATTAACGTAAAGTTACAGAGGTTAGGTTTAGAAAAAGAGACATGATGAGGATGTACCTTAAAATGATACAAAGTTCACACAGTTCTCAACAACAGTATCCTAGGAAAGTCACATGTTTTGTGACCCAATGACCACCCCAACCTGCCTTCTTAAGGGACTGCTTCCATCTCCACTCCCGTCAGCACATTGGTAAGGCTACGCAGCCCCTCAAAATACATGGGTTATGCACAAATTACTGGCTGGAGATTATGTGACATAGGTTCAAATGTTGGTGCACTACGTTTTGTAGGAAAATGTATGAACAGTGCATGAGAACAACCTGTTAATGTAGGCAACTTTGTTTCTGTAATGCATTTACAACATAAACTAAGACAAAGTCCTTTCCATAAGACATTAAGGCAACAAAAAAACCCCCACAAAAAGTAAATTACCATAAAAAAATGGAAAGAATAAAATATTTTTTAGTTTTAATTTTAGTAAATAAAGTAAATAAGTAAAGTAAAGTAATAAGCTTTGTAAGTGTACAACTCCCAAGGTCCATTTCGGCAACAAACACCCTATTACCAAGCTTGAAATTCTGCCGCCTAGATAACACCTTATACAATCTGCACATTAAATCAGCCCACTTTGGATTTCTGGGTCAATTGTGGGTGAATTCAGCAACTATGATGCTGTCTTTTGCTTACATCAGTGATGACATTTTGACTTTGCTACAACTCTGATTCGTGCCTCTGGTTGGCCTCTTCTTCATAGCAATGGCAGCCAAGACTCAAAGTAGCCTACTGTGGTATGTAGAGCCATCCATCATGCCAAACATGACAAACGCAACATGATCTCTCAGAAACAATGTTGAAATAATTACATAGCATAAATCACTATGATTGTTTCATAAACAGAGTGTCTGTTTTAATTTTAATTTTAAAATTGAGGATTTTCTTTAAAGAAAAATTTGAAAGAGGAACACAGAATTGGGAAAAACAATGTTTTTCAAAGGCTACGTTCATACTGTAGGGCAATCAGAATGGCCTCTCAAATCAGATCTTGGAGACAGACTTTGATCACATCGGATTGGTGTGTCAAAACATCACCATCATCTTTGTCACTGACCAAATCCCTATTTTTTGCACTGAAGCTCTGCTGACCATTTTCATTTACTGTTGTTGAAGAGAGTGTGATGCAGCTGACAGCTCTGGAAAAAAAAAAAAAAGAGATCAAGTGGACCTTTGAGTGTAGAGATTATTTTGTCACACAGTACCAGTATATTTAAAGCAATTCTTTGACAGACTGGAAGCCAGTTTAGACATTTGAAGACTTAATTACAACTTTATTAGGAGCTGAGCAGCAGCGCTTAGAGTGAGTGCTCTGAGAGCTTTTTGAGAAACACCTGAGAAAAGCCCTTTATAGTAGTCCAGCGCCTTTGAGAAAAAGGCAACGATTAGATCTTATTTATCTTTTTTTGGAGATTAATTCTCTGATCCTCTGCTGTAATTTTCTGCTGCTAACAGCCTCACTTTGTTGTCTCAATGAGGCTGTACCTTGGACCTGTCACCGAAGACCTTAAGTCTTTATGCAATGGTGTTGTGAGGGGTTCTTCGTGGGGGGTTGCCCACCCTGACACAATCTCTGGCTGACAATCTTTTAAAATAACAGGTGTTTCTAAACTGACTTGTTCCCAGTAAATGTTTTGTCTTTGCAATTAATGTACTCCTCAAATTAAAGAGGTATATTTGTCTTTTCAAGGACAGGACAACTAGTCTATTGAAGAACAATGAATCAGTTAACACATACAGATACATGATACATTAAAACAGGATTGTTGTGGAACTCTACATGTCAATGCTGATTTCAATCAGCATTGGCTATCCCAAACTTTAGACTCAGCAAAATCCCAAAAGATTTGCAACTTGACTTGGACTTGGACTAACATCAGTGACTCATGACCTCACTTGGACTTCAGCCTTTTGACTTGAGTATGCTTGATACCTTCATCCGATCCCAAAGATTAAAAGTATGTTATTTAAAAACTGTGCCATGATTTAGTTCATTTCCCTCCATTTCCTGAATCAGCTAACATTAACTCTGTTTATTCCCAGCAAGTTGACACTTGATTCCCCAAATCAACAATGTTTGAACCAATCAGACATCCTCCAATCACAGTACAGGAGAAAACCATGAAGAACTCACTTTACATCACTTACCAATTGGAAAAAATGATACCAGTTTGCGTATAATAACTGCAGAGTGCCTGGGTAAGTACGCAAAGTGCTTGGCTAGAAAATTAGAGACACAACAAATTACAACTTGCTTTAACAAATCAATACAAAAAATTTTTAAAAAATCGTAAATTTAACATATTATTATTTGGTTGAACATTTGGTAAAGAGTGCATTATGGCTTGTTTAGGACTTGAAACTTGAAGTTTAGGACTTGGTACTTGACGTGGGACTTGAGTGCCAAGACCTGTGACTTGCAAAGCAATGACTCAGTCCCATCTCTGTCAGTATGTGATTCCTTAACTCTCATATTGACACAGTTTTCAACTAACCTATAAACTATATAATAATAGAAATCCTGAAATTCAGTTATGGCTTTTATGTCTGGTGTACCACCCTAAGATTTTCAGTGGCTCCATCTGGCCACCCCTATGACAAATTTCTAAGACTGCCACTGTCCGTATATCACACGTGCCTCCCTGTTTTGGGTGAAACTCTTTATTGTATAACTTTAATTTGCATTAGGGCACCTCTCTCCTATCTTAAGCTCCACACAGCGGACCCTTAAGACCCCACAGGTTTGCGTCTAAACCTCAACAGAAGGCACAGTAATTAATGCACATTAGAGGGCCCAATAATCTCTGCTTGTCTCTGTGTGGCTGTAATTCCTTTGCAGAACACCCAATCAGCCAGCCGGTCTGTTACCCATGAGCCCCGGTGTGCAGTGTATTAGGCGAGTGTACACAATAAGCTGAGTTGTGGAGTTTCTGCTACCCAGTCAGCCATTTGGAGGAGCGTATTATCTCAGCAGAGCTAAGCCTCTACTGAGCTGAGGATTGCACTACTGAGTCAGAGTGTTGCTGTTGTTCCTCTCACCTGCTGCTGAAAGCAAACCAGCATGGCTGACTGACTGACTGGGAACTCAAAGACTGAAACGAGGCCTGCCTCTCGGCTGGTGTCACTAAGAGTTGAGGCAAAATGGCTCTCCGTAAATCCCCCTCCTCTACCTGTGCAGGTAAGTGTTGCGGTAACATATAGGAAACCAAGCAGGACTCCTTTGTGTGGCCTGTCCTGCCTGTCCCTCCTGTATCCTCACCCAACAAAAAGGACACAATAGACAGGACCACCGTAGACTAACCCACCTATTGTCCCATCCCATTTCCCCCCAGTGTGTGTGTGTGTTTGTGTGTGTGTGTGTGTGTGTGTGTGTGTGTGTCAGCAGGCCGTGTGGGGCAGCCGTCAACAGGCAGCTCTTTATGGCAGGCTGGGTATACAGTTGCATGTGAGGCTGCTGTAGTTTAATTTGCTTATTCATCCAGACCCCTCTGTGCTAATGTAGTCCCCTCATTGTCCTCAGCTTGTCTCCCAGAGGAACTCTTACACCCAGTTTGAACAGAATGACTCAGTTTTTAGGATGACTTTATCTTAGAGATGTGCTCCCTGGCAGTAAAGCTCAGGCAGGGCGGTAATCCGGGTTAGTCTGCATGGCTGACTGCGGCTGTGCTTTAGTGTAAGTGAGGTGACGAAGCTCTTATGGCTGATTTCAATTGACCTTAAAATTCTCATAAACCTTGAAAGGCAAAGGCTGAGTGAAACATCCCTCGCTGTTTAGAAACTGCCCAGAGCTGATTTTATTGGGCTGCTCCAGGGGAAACATTTTGACACGATGGCAGGCAGGCGATATTGACTGCAACTGGGGAATGATTTGGCAGCCCTGGGACGTCAGAATTTACTATCGAGCCTCCTGGAGGTTTTATGTTCCAAAGTCATTATTATACCGTATCTTTGACGGGAGATGGCCCATTGATAGCCAATAATGACGTCCCAGCTGTTGCACACACTGCCTTGCTTTGGCATCCAAACCAGGCTTCTCTGAACTTTGTTTACTCAGAATGGAGCGTGTGGAAAGTTCAATCAGGGCTGTTGGGTGGAAAATTAAAGACCCCCTCCAGACATGTTTGAAGACATAGAAATACTCTGCTAGGAATAACAATTTGTGGCTGATACAGAAATAATTACATCGTTTAAAAATGTTTAAAATTACTCCTTTGCTGTCATGAAAAAAATCTATATGTAATTTTTTTTTTTTTTCAATTCAAAAATTTAATTACTAGACTACCAACCCATTCTCATTTACAGATCGTCAAATTCTGATGCTTTGACATGCCCCTCTGCATCTCATAATGAGGCACAGGGCACAGTTAAGCCTATCTATGTCATGTACACATTATAATATGTGGTTAATGTGGTGAAACAGTCGCGATTAGGTTTCAGACAAAACATTACTTAGTTAGGTTCAGAAGAAAAGATCATGTTTTGGGTTAAAATAAGCATTTATCGATAAAAATGTCCATACGTAAATTATGTTATGTTACATTAAAACAACAGTGACTTTTAGTTTCACACATGAACTGTGGTCTCGTGGGTGAAAGTCTTGTTTTGTTTGACCTGTCCACCACCCCTCTCTCCCACCCTGTGCCCACTTTCTCTCTTTATACCATGTTGGTTGCTCTCAGTGTCAAGTATTCTGTGGATTGGTTTACATTAGAGTTAGCTGAAAGCCTGGTGCATCTCATAAAGATGCTAAAGTGTGCTTTTGGCGTTGATGTCACACACTGGGGTGTATGACAAAGTGTAAGTATTTGACAGCCTGGGGATGAGGACGGACTGAAGCTACTGTCTATTGCCTGAAATTTTTCAGTTCAGTGCACTTGAAGCTTCTGGTTTCTCACACTTATTTTACATTTAGGTTACATTTGAGTTACGTTTTGGATCATGATTGTCTTCCAAACTAGTTGTGATGTGTGACAAAATCCTGCTCGTACGTCCACTTGTTAGATTCCGCTTTAAAGGGGCCCTTTGGAGTTTTCTTGTAGACCAACAAAAGTTATGTTTATAGTCAGTGTTACTCACCATTGTGTGCACTGCAAACTTGTTGAATGCATTACCTTCCTCATAAAATATTTGCAAAGCTGATTTCAAAAGGTATACTATGCACAAATTGTCAGTTACTGTTTGTTATTGCCAATGAAAATGAAAGCCAACGCCAACACCAATGCCAATGTCAACCCCAGCTTTGTCTGCTTGGCATTTCGCCTCACCATATTTGCATTATTTTGTTGCTGTTCCACAAATTTCATAGCTTACTCTTAGATCTCTTAGATATGTGCTGTTTATTGTCTGGCACTGGGTTGCTACCCAACCTCACCTGTGCGCTGTGACCAGGAATGTCCCAAATGAAGCAAAATGCAGTAAGAAGGAAATAAAATACAGGCAGAGGGCAGAGTCTCTGCAGAAAAATACATGGCCTCACACTTCTTCTTGGTCATAAGTGATGACTTAGAGGGATTACTTTTAAACGAGTTATACATTGTTTGTTAGGATAACCCTGCATAGTATATCTTTAAGTGTTTACTTAGCTGTCTTTTCCTCCCCATTTTTCTTGGTGTCCTGCTTTGCTTCTCAGTGCATTACCACCATCAGAAAAATAGTGTGAAACAGGACCGTGAATCGCATCACCCACATGAGTGCATGTGCATCCTTGTGCATGTGCCACGGGACAAATAACAGGAGACCCGTTCATAAAAAAACAACTCCATAGCTTTAATATAGGTCAGAAACTCTACAGGGAACCTTTAAGAAGCTCAGAGAAACTATCTGTCTGCAGTGGATAAACAGCCAACTAGTGTCAAACATCCTTCTGCAGTAACAGAACACATTTTTGAATTTTTTTTCAGCAGATTTCAGCACACCTTCAAAAACAGGTGTTGCAGAACTTGCACATCACTTCAAAATGCTGAAAATCTTTACAGCTGCGATTTTAAATTAATCAAGATGGTAACAACATGAAACTAAAATAAGACAGGGTGAAGGCTTCCACACAATCAGCGAGGCAGAGCTGAGACAACATGTTTAAAAGCATCAGCATTAAGGCTTTGTGCAGTGCTGCTGCTCATTAGCTGCTCTCTGAAGGATGCCCTTTGTCTCAGCCATTAGAAATGACTGTGATAGAGAGAGTGTTTATCTTACACAATCAGTCTGAGAAGCAGGGGCAGTGTGAAATTCCAAAAGGTCCGGATATTATATCAAGCAACTTTTTTAGGAGACAGAGGAAGCTTTTTAACTCTTGGGCACACAAAAGGGGAAACAAAGTGAAATGTTAAATCCCAATTTAGAATGTTAATTCTCCATAAACACCTTGTGTAAGGAAATGTGGTATTAAACATGATAACAGAACGACATAAATGAGCAAAATGTATATTAATCTTTACATATTTTCTGACAAATTATGCTAAATGAACATGGGCAGATTATGTGGCAATGGGCTCCTGGGCACAGACATCCAGAAGGGCCCCATTGCCTCTTCTGCACTGGGGGGAAGACGCACAGACTTTGTGCTGGTTTTGCCTTCTTTGTTGTTGTTTTGTGTCTCTTGTTGGTAATTTTGTGTGTCCTTGTGGATTGTGTGTGTTTCTGTGTAATTGTTTAATTTCTCTTTGAAGTCATTCAGTGTCTTTTAGGGTATATTTGTGTCTATTTTGGTCGACTTGTTTTTCTTCGTAGTCATTCTGTGTCTCTCTGCATCTCTTTGTGGTCATTATATCTCCCTGTTGTTTTGTGTCTCTTTGACGGTCAGTTTGTGTCTCTTTGAGGTATATTTGTGTTTTGTTGGTCATTTTCTGTCTCTGTAGTCCTTCTGTGTCCCTTTGCAGTTCCCTTTGATGTCTTTGTTGTTGTTTTGTGTCCCTTTTAGACCATTTTGTATCTCTTTGTAGTCCTTCTGTGTCCATTTGCAGTTCCCTTTCATGTCTTTGTTGTTGTTTTGTGTCCTTTTGAGGCCATTTTGTGTCTCTTAGGGATATATTTATTTATTTTTTGGTAGTTTTGCTGTCCCTTTGAGGCCATTTTGCATTCTCTATGATGTATATTTGTGTATTTTTGGTCGTTCTGTGTCTCTTTGCAGTTCCTCTGCATCTCTTTGTAATTATTTTGTGCCTCTTTATGGTTGTTGTGTGTCTCTTCATACTTCCCTTGCGTCTTTGTTGTCCTTTTTTGTCTTTTTGAGGCCATTTTGTGCTTCTTATGGATATATTTATGTCTTTTTTGGTAGTTTTGCATCTCTTTGTAGTTATTCTGTGTCTTTTTGCAATTCTTCTGCATCTCTTTGTGGTCATTTTGTGTCTTTCTGTACTCATTGTGTATCTCTTTGTAGTCATTTTGTGTTTCTCTGTTGTTCCTTTGCATGTCTTTGATGTTGTTTTGAGTCTTTTTAAAGGTCAATCTGTGTCTCTGTGAGGTATATTTGTGTCTTTTTTCATTCTGTGTGTCTTTGTAGTTCCTTTGTGCCCATTTTGTGTCCTTTTATAGTTCCTTTGTATGTCTTTATTATCATTTTGTGTCTCTGAAAAGGTCCATTTTTGTCTCTTTGAGGTATATTTGTGTCTATTTTGGTCGTTTTGTATCTCTTTGTAGTCATTTTGTGTCTCTGTAGCTCCTTTGCATCTCTTCGTGGTCATTCTGAGTCTCCTTGTTGATACGTGTTCATTTTAGTGTTGCTAATTTGACATTTTGCAGGTAAAAGCCAGGGGACCCTCACAACCCCCAAAACCTATTTTGGGAATCTCTACTCGAAAATGTTCGAATGTCTGTTTCCATGTGCATAAAATGTGTTTGTTTAACCTAGTTTATACTTTATTTCAAAATCCAGAAACATTCAGCAACATGTTTTATTCTGTGATGCCCTGCTTTATATTTATACATGAGGGATTTTCTCATTCATTTCCCCTCCTACTAGATTCAAACTGGCGACCTTCCAGTTACAGGCCTGCCTCTCTAACCTCCAGGCTACTGAGCTGCTGTCAAGTGAGCAGTGAGGAACACAAACACAACTGTTGCCATGAAATCTCTGTCCTTGTAGGCCCAAAATACTTCAAAAGAGACATTATAAAAATATTTTCCCCTCTTGACCTGGTTCCTGCTCACTCACTATGTTAAAGTGTTGTCCAACTGTGTGTGGATGAGGGAGAGGAAGATAGAATGAAATAGAGCGAGCTGTCCGTGGTGCTGAAATGAGAGCACAGCACGTGGCCTGGTGCGTTACTATGGCTACAGCTGTCTGTATCCCTAAAATAACCATACGCACACATAGTAACCTTATTACTAAAAAATCTGTTGCAGCTCCTGACAACACAGCAATCAGCTTGATAAAGATGGAGGAATGTCTCATTTGTCACCACTGAACTTTAAACTCCTCCGAGAGGAGCTGTTTGGAAAAAATCACAGTTCTCAATATAAACAGTGGCTGAGCAACAAGTAATCTGCTGGTGTTTTCTTCCCTGCACTGTGTACACAATCAAACTCTTTTACCATTTACAATATTCTCTGTCTTGTGTTTTATTCTTTTATTTGTATTATATTGTGTTCTTTGTGTTTTGAGACTGATTGTTGAGAAGTGAGCTCTACGTAGGCTTGTCATTTGTGCGTGTTGTGTGTGTTTTGAGACAGGGTTTGTGATTGACTGACACACATATCAATTTGTACAGTGTGAAACAAAGCTTCACAAGGACACTTTGCATATTTGTGGCTTCAAATAATAGGAAATCGTGAGGTTGCGTCATAACCAAAAGGTCCTATATGTAGGTTTGATAAGGAAATGTGTGTGAGGAAAGTAGGTGGGTACTGCTCCAGCCAGCAGCATGTTTGATTAGCTTAGCATAAAGACTGGAAACAGGGGCAAACGACTAGCCTAGCTCTGTCCAAAGGTAAAAAGAAATAAATACCTACCAGCACTGCTATAACTCGTGGTTTACACATAACATCTTAGTTGTTAAATACATACAAAAGGTATTAAAATGACAGGTTGTGATTATAAGGGGGAGTTATGTGGCAGACTATTTCTTAGCCAGGAGCAGTAACTTCCTGAAGCCTACGCAGATTTCCTAGCAACCTCACAGTGACGACAAGTCTTCACTCCACCAAGAAATAGTTACATAACCCCACATAAAACCACACTACATCCTTTAAAAATAAAAGTTAAACAAAGACGATATAAGGTGTTAATTCTTGACATTTAAAGGAACACTTCACCCCCTTAACGATAATTTGTGTATCAATAACTCACCCCAAGCTTGAAATTCAAGCAGAAAATTTTGCTTTGCTTGCATGCCTCAACGGTGAATGAAGAATCCAAAAACAGAGAAAATTCTTAGTGAACTGAAGTAATGGGGGGCCGTATTTTACAACAGCAAAACTACATCAAAACATTTGTTTACAAACTCCATGCTGTATAAACCAAGTCACTTCCGCATATACTGTCTCGGGCACGGACGAGTGGTGCGCCTGAGCTGTTTATGTGAAAGTGTTTGAAATAGTGAGGTTTAAGCCAAAATGCGTGTGTTTGGGAAGTACTGAGACTTGGATTATACTGCACAAGCTGTGTGAGAGTTTGTAAAAAGAGTATGTTTGGAATGGAAAGGACATGGAGAGCATTAGAGTAAGGGAAAAGAATATGAAAATCGCAAATTTGCACATAGGCCTACCATTTTCCTGTATGATTTGTTTTATTATTATTATTATTATTATTATCATTATTGTTTGTTAGCTAAGTTTATTTGTGTATTTCTTTTTTGCTCTTGTTTTAGTTCATGAAAAATACAAAAAAAAATATAAAAGATTACAATAATAATGTGGAGGGTGCTCAGGGAGAGCTTGCCCAGGGTGCCGAATGTGTTAAGTCCGGCACTGCCTGTTTCCTGTCTTTGTGCTAAGCTCAGCTAACCAGCTGCTGGCTCTGGTCTTATGTAGACATGAGAGTGGTATTGATCTTCTCCTCTAACTCTGGGCAAGAAAGCGAAAAAGCTTATTCCCCCAAATGTCTTGGAGATCAATGAGCTGTGGGGCAGAGACGTTTACTTTTATCTCTGGTGAGAGATGCAACTTAAGATGCAGCAACAAGTTTCTCCCCTGGAGGCTTTTTCTTCCACCCTTAAAGTTACCACAACCCATGTATCATAAGTGTTGGCAATAACTGACAGCTGGCAAATCAACCAAATTTGAGAACATTACGTTAATAGTCATGCTGTTGTCTCAATTATTTTAGGATAGAGACACATCCTCATCCTTTTTTTATTTTTATTTTACGACTATTCTGAAATTCATAAATGGGAAGCAAGCTTGAAAGTTTCAATACGGCTGGTTTACTTTGCCTCGGTAAACAAAAGAAAGCTGCACAGGACAAGATGTGAAAATACACCTGAATCAATACAGCTGAATCATCCAAGAAGCTCTAGTTTCACCTTGTTTCACTTTTCTGTTTTTGTGGCCCTGGTGGGAAATATTTACCTGGAGTAAACTGGACCCAGTGTCTATAGATGCACCTCTTCACCACCTCCATGTCTAAAGTGTTGAGTTTTAGTGACTAATTTCTACTTGCCTCAGCATAGAGTTCCTTTGTGTCCAATCAAGATGCTGAGTTACAATCTTTGCATTTCCAAATAAATGTCTTATAGAATCATGGACCAATGGTGCAAGCTTCATGCGAGTGACCACAGCCCTCAGTGAGTCCTCCTCCATCCACAGCGACGCCCTGTATCATCTGACCAAGGACATGTCCGGGATGGGACTGGACCCCATGTCCTACAGCATCCTGGAACCTGAGCCTTATAAAGAAGAACCCTGGACTGAGGAATCACAGAATTTGTTACAGGTGATTAAACGAACACATAAAGTGTGTGTTGGTAAAAAACAACACATTGATGTACTTTTCCTTCCTGTTTTGGGAACCAGTTTAAGGTTAAAGCCTGCTCAGACACACTAGGAACAACTTGTAAAAATGAGTTAATCATGTAATATTTCCTGTGAGGGAAACGTATTGCATACCATTGCATCATTTTATGACTCAGCATAAAATAGAAAGAATCTCATTAAAACGACTTCATGACTTTTAATCTGTTATGATGATGGAGGGAGCTGTTCTCCCAAATTTGTTTCTCAAGATGTTTATTCTTGGAGTCTTTCAAAATAAAAGTTGTAACTGAGATATCTGGACCTGAACTGACTTTGACCTGAATTTCAGTAAAAAGCATGAACACATCAGTTCAAGGTTAATGTTAGTTTAGGGAAAAGACAGCTGAGGATTAAGGCTGATATTAGAAATAGGTTAATGGTAAAGCCTGAGGTTAGCTGCGCCTCAGAAGGTATCTGTGTGTGTGTGTTTGTGTGTGTGTGTCATGAAATATCACCTAAAAATACTCATTCTGAGGAAGACAGAAATATATTCCTGGGACAAAAACTATGCTTCAATTACATTTTATATTATTTTTGCTTCTGTGATTATGATGTAGCTATTAGGAAAACACAGGTCTCTCTCCAAGTTACATCAGTGGGCTGTCTAAGCAACCAAGGCTGCTCCCTCTCTCCACACTACAAAAAATATACATCTTAACCTGTCATTTTTAAAAATGAGAGCAAGATAAGTATATCATTTTTAAAAAATATGAAATAGGGGGAAAGGGGCTGCAGGGAATGATTACGTAGCTCTACATTTTAATGCAATTTTTTTTTTTCTTTTTTTCTGTCAGGTAAAATTTGAGATAGCCTGTAATGTATATCAGGAACCGGTCAGTCCACAGAAATGGCTCTGCCCCTGACAAAGTCTATCCTAGGCTGTGTCTCAAATCGCGTACTTCTGTACTTACACTTAATATTTTGAGTGCATAAGTGCATTCACACTGAGAAGTTTGGAAAAATGCAGTGCACTATGAGTACCCCGATGGTGCACTCAAAATGGTCAAGAAGTTGAGTGTGGAACCCTGGACACTTCTCGCCATCTTGGCTACGTAGCGGAAGGGGAGGGACCACTTTTCAAACTGGAAATAGCGGCCAAGGAGTGTGTGACTGTGAACGCCGCTGCATTGTACAAATACATGTGTTTTTTGCACTAAGCACCACTATATCGTTGTTGGGTATAAGCCAGCAGTATGTTTACTGGGTGTTAGCAGTTAGCAGTCTGTAATGATTTGGTGCCGCGAACGATAACGCTAATGCTAATGCTAGTTTGCTAACTAGCTAATTTGCGGTCATCATTTCCGGTGAGTGCAAAACAGCCGTGTTTGGTTTGAGACAACACTACCCTGTCGAAATTCTACACCACTACACCAATGAGTACGTAGTGCACATAGTATACTACACTGAAGTGTACTAACGGAAGTATGTGATTTGAGACACACCACTAGTTTAGATCACAGACTGTATAATAAAAATGAATGACATGACAGCTCCCCAAAATTGAAGCCAGAACATCTTGATTGCCCCCTGGTGGCTGGCTGCAGTATAGGTCATAAATCCTGCCCCCTCCATGTTAGCAAAAGTGAAAGATCAAAGTGCACATCAAATAAATTTTTCCCAAAGATGGTTTCAATCATTTTAGGTAGTTCTTATCACATTGCTGTTTGTTCAATTTTTGGTTTTTCTTATAAGTTTGGTTCTAATTTGTTATTTGATGCTATACAAAGGAGGTTTGATGTTACGATTAACAGCTATGTATGCCAAATGATGCGCTCACGATCAATGGTGCTGCTTGCGATTGGTCTGACGTGTGTATGGATGGGAATTTGACACAACAGAGAATGCTATTGTGCAGACTCTGGCTCCAAATGATGTCATCAGCACAAAATGGCAGCGGCTGTAACTGGGATATTTTGGCTTCACTTTTGTACAGTGGAAGGAAGTTGAGACGCGTCATCCATCTTTATATAAAGTCTATGGTTTAGATCAGCGAACCTTTTAGGTCATGTGGCTGGCTTTTTTTTCTGGCAAAGGCTGTGTACAAAAAAAAGTGACTAATACCATTTTCAAGAGTTTTTTTTTATTTTACAGCTTTTTACAGTATACATTTGACTGTAGAATGTTTTTGTTGTTTAACAAGTACTAATGAATATTTTGGTTCAAAATAAAAATTGTCTTTCATTAGGCTACTAATGGATGAACATGTTCATACTACAGGCTTCCAGGGGCCCTTTCCATCTTTTCCCCCCTTATGGGCGGCCCTGTTCATAAATAATCAAAAATATCTATAAACACTTGAAACCACACAGGAAATTATTTGAATTTTCACCAACTTGGCAGAAATATTTTATTCTATTTATTTTTTTATTTAAAACGGAATTTTGAGACTGAGCATCACAACCAAAACAACAAGCTGAGCACAGACATTTTTTACAGTGTGGCATACTCCGTGCCAAAAGCGCCGGCGGTGCGCAGGCAGCCTCCAGATCACACAGCGGGATAGATGGGTATCACCAGCATGCGATCAGGCTGCTGAGTCTATATGTGTGTGCTCAGCCTCTTCTATCTCATTGATCTACTTTATAGAAAACAATGAGCCCTGGTGCAGATGAGCCGTCGCTCCTCTTGGACTGTGGACTAACTGGAGTGACCTCAGGTGTCATTTGGGGATGACGGGGGTGAAGGTGGTGATGATGAATCTGGCTGTCTTTTTCTGCGAAAACCGCCAACTTTCACTCCCTCTCTTCTTCTACTTCTTCTTCTTGTACTTCTCTATATGTCTTTAAAGCGCAACAGCATGCAGATCTCCCCGACTGAAGACAAGATCCCTGTAAGTACAGCAGTATCCATCCGCCGACACTCTGTTGCTTCTCTCGTCTCTGTCTTGACTTTAATTAGCTTCACCTGTGGCCAGTCTGTGTTACGCCCTGCTGGTAATAGTTTCACTGTCATTTTACATTTGGCGACATTGTTGTGAACTCCGTGCTGCTGTTTACGGTAAGCTGACTACAAACAGAAAGTCTAACTATTACTGCTGTGTGGGAGACTGTTAGACCCAAACAGGCAGCACGAAACGACAAAACATTTTAAGGTAGCAAACAGGTGAGGTTCTGTAAAAGATTTATAACCTTCTGGCAACCTTCAGGAACATTTTGTTAACCCTTTAAAGAACACGAGCATGTGGGAACCTTCATGACTCTGCTTGGCTAAACCAAAATGGGGATTTTCGCTCTATGTTCTTCATTATAAAGAAGTGTCAGCAAACAGTAAGCCTTTGGAAAGTTCCAGGAGTTTGAAGGTAGCAGCCTGCATCAGGTATACTCAACTTTGCCCGGTGGCCACTTTTACAAAATGACAGGAGGCCAGGGGCCAGTTAATAAACAAACATTATTAATATTTATCTGTAGATATATAATACATGAATTTCCTGTGCTAAGCCTTTCGACATTGTCCTCACTCATGTTTGCTATGAGGCAAATCCAGTTGTAGCTGTCCCGCACAGGTTAGCTGGACTGTATGCAGGGGTGTTTCTAGGATTTGACTACGTTCAGGGCTTAGCCTGGAACTCTACTGGGGGTCCATGGGATCCTCCTTGGGCACTTTTTTTCTTTAATAAACACCCTCTGTTTTGATGCTTTTATCAGTGCACTCTAGGACCTTATTTACATTCAGAGTACCAAAAAAAAGGTTCCTAGTGTGAATCAATTTATTTCCATTGTAAATTAGAAAATGGTCGTTGGGCAAGCTGGTACCCTCTCTGCCCACTAGGGTTGTGCCATATCATCTTGCTCACAATAATACCAGTATCATTTTTTATATGATATGAAAAATTCAGATTGTGATACTCGCGACTTGTTGACATATTTATGTCATACTGTTACCCATGGCAACAACAAGCTTGGCTAGCACTGAAATTATTACAGACTCTGCAGGGGCTTCCAAAAAGAGGAGCAGCTTCAGTAATGTGCAATAAACTGTGGTGTCCTGAATATTTTATGAACAGCCCTGAACTTCTCATGCTCTTTTAGCGGGTTACCGCTCAGAGGGAACTCATTCAGCGGCTCCTCTGGCAGCAGCACAGCATCTCTCCTCTACTGTCTCGCTGTGCACACACAGGAGTCAGTGTCATCAAGTGATTTCGTCATAAACCAGGAGCAAGAAATTTCAAAAGTTTTAAATACCCTTAAATATTGTGATGTTATTTTCGGGAAATATTGCCCACCCCAACTGCCCGCAGGCTGTTCAGTATCACTAGCCTACATGTACCGCTCAGCTAGAGCTGTTCCTAACGACTAATTACCCTGATGTTTAAACTGAAATTTAAGTCAGCTTGTTTAAAAGTAAGAAACACTGAGAAAACAGTCAAAGTTGTGCACAATTTTAACCTTTAAGGTTAAAACCCATTGCGTATATAACAAGAGCCATAGGAAACTGAAAATATCCAAAAAGATAAAGGCGGAAATTGTTCCACCCAACAGGTGCAAGCAAGATATCAATCAAATATAGTCTTTGCATGCCTTATAAGAGGTCGAATCAATTTAAATAAATGAAAAAACCTGTGTGAGAGGACCATGGATGCCTGAGGGCTTTCAGATATTTTAGCTAATCTAGCCTTCGAACCAACAAAGCATGTAACCGCATCTAGATCCAAGCTAAACTTAACATTGAGTGAGGGAGTCCTGTGAACTACATTTTGTGATGTTTCAGCATCTATACCAAGGATGGTAAAATCAGAGTAAAAACTGAAGTTTGTCCACTCAGTATGATAGAAAAAACAACGTTAGCTGTTTGGCTGGTGGGAAATGGTGAGGCATTTTTTGATTGCACACACAAACAGTATAGGCCTAAAGGAATGGATTCTGGATCCAATTCGCACTATCGTGGTAGTTTTTTTGTCATACAGTAGAGAATGGGAAGTAGAAGTTGTGATACATTTTTTGGGTGGGGGCTCCATCTCTTAAGGTACGCATTCTCTGACAGGGGGTTGCTCGTTGTGATGAACAGACAAAGAATTATTATGTTCAGAACAGAATATACGCATCGGCTTTACAGAGTTTTATAGAGAGTCTGAGCTCATTGTTTAGCTGTCCAGCCCTCGACTTAACAGTTTTGTTCTCTCCCAAGGCTCTTGTAGTGTCTTACCAAATGGCAAACAGACACAGTACAAAGCGCTAGCTGTTGAACATGGTGGAGCATTTAGCATCCAAAGTGCCATATATCTCCCTGGTTTTCCCTTGAAGTTGGTGGAGACCAAAAGCAGAGCTAAAAGAGAGTGAATATTCGACGTTTGTTTACTCTGTGGCAAGAAACACGACTCCAAATGAATGCTAATGTCAGTCCATACAAACTGTCTTTTATACATTCACAACTGCTCGCTGAAAAGTTTACCAAATCAATTTAAAAGGTGATATGTCATTGCTGTGTTGATAACTTGTTTCTGCCGCCCCAAGTGGCCAAAAAACTCATTGCAGGTTTAAAGCATTTCTTCATGAATCTGGGAGATATTTTTCCCACACATGTAAAAAAACAAATAGTTATTAAGGATTGATTAAGCCACTAACACTAGCATTTTTTTCTGTTTAGCAAGACCCAACCAATGACAGAGCTACAGTGACACAAAAGATGAAAGATTAAGCTAATACTGTGTACTCTGTGGGAAACTTGAGCTTGACGATACATCTGTGCTCATCTACTTATCTATCTAATTAATGTAAGTGATGTTGCATTATTTATTGTTTTAACAAAATAAAACATTATGACTACATAAGGATACAGCCTTGACAAACACACACTGTTTATGAACAGAGTAGAATTTAACTCCATATTTTAAAAGCCTGTCCTGCTGATAAGTAAGAAACCTGCTCTTAGGAAGTTAGAAAATCTCTCATCCTGCCCAGAGCCTATAGAGCATTCCCTCTTGTGTCGTCCATGTTTAGTCTCCCTCTCTACTTTCCCTCTGTCTAAATAAAGAATAAAACTGCCAAAGGTGAGCTGACTGCCCACTCTGCTGCTGAAGGTTTTCATTTCAGTGTTTTTGAGAACCTGCCAAAAGCCACTTGTGTTTGCGTGTGCTGACAGTGCAGAAGATGTTTAAGTTCATTCAAACAGTTATTACATAACTCCACTGCTGCGTAAAGGTTCTGTGTATGCTGGCTTTAAACACTATGTACTTGTTAAATTGATTGTGATGCCTTGCAATTGAGTATTGTAAACAAATGGTAATATGATGGAGATGAGGGTTTCCTCTAACATCAGGTTCAATGGTAGGTGCTACTGTGCAACTGTTTTACAGCACAGCTCGCTTACTGTATATTTTAAATTCCCTTTTGGTTTCTCTTGACTCCCTGCAGGTCGTGGGTTCCATTTCAAGCCCTCAGGCCGGCGGGGAGGGCCTCTACTTCTCTGATGGCAGACGGAAAGTTGATTACGTTCTGGTCTTCCATCAGCGACGGCGCAGCTCCATTCGATCTCGCGCCAGCACCTCAGTTTCACACGACAGATTATCCATCGTTTCCAATGGCAACTTTCCCCCTTCGGCGGTCTCAGATGCGGCAGCAAGAAGAGGCAGCGTACGGGGAGGGGATGCTGCCAGTGCCGGCGAGGTGTTTATGGAACTTGGAGGTGCAGGAGGGAACGAGTTAACGGAGCCAGCTGACCATGAGATGCGTTTAATCAGACAGGAATTTGAGGCCAACCTGGTGGAGGCCGGCCTGGAGATAGAGAGAGACAGAGAGGTGAGTGTACATGTGTGGTCATGCTAATGTCCATGTCCTACCCTTCCTTTTGTCTCCAAGACATTGTATTGGTACCGAAGATGGGCCCATATCTCATACTTTTTATACATGTTATTTAGCAGCTGCGACAATGTCCTGACAGCTGGTCTTGTTTTCACCTTGTAAGTCTGTTTGTGTCTGTCATTGCAAAATGTGGTCCTGGAGACACCTACCATAGCGGGAACTACCACAGAAGCTGGTTTGAGTATTTTGCCAAGTGTTTGTGTATATGCCTGTCTGTCTGTCTGTGGGAACATTTTGTCAACATGATTGCATCACAACCAAGCAAGATGCAGTCAGGAAACTTTACAGGTCTGTAGTTGAGATGAAAATGAAGGCCGAGTTTGAAGAACGGTGTGATCCGAGCGAGGGGTCCTGAAGTAGGGAAGTAGGCCATTGGCACCCCCACTTTACGCCCCTGTGTAGTCGAGATCACAGTGGGTGAGTTTGAAGATGGGTGTTGTCCAAGCAAAGGCGCCAGAAATAGTGGGGTAGGGAAGGGGCCATTTTCCCCCACTTCATGCCCCTGGCCCAAATTTGTCTTAAGTTGCGCACTGCTTTATCGTAGCTGGAGTGATCCCTTACAAGATGGTCTCTGGTATAATGTAGGGGATGCAGTTCAGATTGGTGCTTTTGGTGTGTACTCTTCCTTGTTGGTGCATTAAAAGGTTTGTAGAAAACAACCTTGGTCTGAAACAAGCTGTTGTATGAAAGGTGGGAACATTTAATGGAATAAAAGCCCACTGTGCTCAAGGTTGAAGGTTTTTACTGTCTTATGTGCATTGTACAGAGCAATGAGACAGTGAAAGTTATAGGCCTCAGGCAGGCTCACCCTGTAACAGTCAAATAAAATAGACAATAAACCAAACAAGATTCAAATAAAGATTATAATAAGAATAAAAGATGCAATAAAAATAAGCAATATAAACAAACATTTTGGCATCAGGAACATTAGCTAAAAGTCGACAGTTAAACCTGCTTTCATTTATTTTTTGGTTATTTAGGAGCAGCTTAACAAGCTGTTCACATTGATGTGTTATCACCTTAGTTGACATAGCAAACATGTTAAAAAACAATGACGACGACAGAGTCCGGCAGAAACTGAGCAACATTAACATGAATTTGAAATAGTGTTTTTTGCCATCTTATGAATGTCTATCACTTTCCTTTTTAGCTCTGTTTTGGTCTCCACCAAATCCTGAAGAATACACACACCGGCCACTTTTTTTGGGTACATCTGTTCAACTGCTCGTGAATGAAAATAGTAAATCAGCCAATCACGTGGCAGCAACTCAATGTATTTAGGCATGTAGACATGGTCAGGATGACCTGCTGAAGTTCAAACCGAGCATCAGAATGAGGAAGAAAGGTGATTTAAGTGACTTTGAACGTGGCATGGTTGTTGGTATGAGACAGGCTGGTCTGAGTTTTTCAGAAACTGCTGATCTACTGGGATTTTCACGCACAACCATCTCCAGGGTTTACAGAGGATGGTCTGAAAAAGATAGAATTTCCAGTGAGCGACAGTTTTCTAGGCAAAAATGCCTTGTTGATGCCAGAGGTCACAGGAGAATGACCAGACTGGTTCAAGAAGATAGAAAGGGAACAGTAACTCAAATAACCGCTCGTTATAACCAAGGTATGCAAAAGACCATCTCTGAAACAACAACACATCGAACCTTGAAGCAGATGGGCCACAGCAGCAGAGGATCACACCAGGTGCCACTCCTGTCAGCTAACAACAGGAAGCTGAGGCTACAATTCACACGGGCTCACCAAAATTGGACAATACAAGATTGGAAATACGTTGCCTGGTCTGATGAGTCTCGATTTCTGCTGTGACATTCAGATGGTAGGGTCAGAATTTGGTGTAAACAACATGAAAGCATGGATCCATCCTGCCTTGTATCAACTTGAACATGACAATGAGTTCACTGTACTCCAACGGCCTCCACAGTCACCGGATCTCAATCCAATAGAGCACCTTTGGGATGTGGTGGAACGGGAGATTAACATCATGGATGTGCAGCTGACAAATCTGCAGCAGCTGTGTGATGCTGTCATGTCAATATGGACCAAAATCTCTGAGGAATATTTCCAGGCAGCATGATGAATCTATGCCACGTACGATTAAGGCAGTTCTGAATGCAAAAGGGGTCCAGTCTGGTACAAGCAAGGTGTACCTAATAATAAAGTGGCCGATGAGTGTATCTGTCCTTTTAGCTGCTAAATACTCCTCTCTGTTTACCAGCTAATTGCTGGCTTTGTCTGCTTGCTGTTTTGGGCTGGATTGGTGGTGTACAGTAGGTTTAAAAGAGCTTTTTGCTGCAAACAGCTGTGTGTTGCAGCCGGAAACAATGCTGACGAGAGGGACACAAAACATGAACACTGTGGGCCTCAAAACACAATCAATGAGTGCTCCATAGAACTGAAGGGAACTGCAGGGTGTCTTATTTAAAAACATGGATTGGTGAAGCTTTGAGTAAACTATAGAGCATTAGTAGGAAATGGTCAAAATATACAAACCACTAACATGTTCCCTTGCTGGTCTGCTGGCAGATGATGTCAGACTTACATTTTGAAAAAAGCAGTAATCTCCCTACAGTTGATCTATTCGATCACAATACCTGGAGAAGTAATCAGTATAATCTCGGACATTATCCAACAGCCTGTGGATTGATATACAGACTAGATACTACAGTTTGTACAGACTGTAACAGGATTTTAAACCCTGACACAGGAGCTGATGTAACTCTGTCTTGAGCTATTTAAGGTGAGCGCCTACATAGGAACCTAGCTCAGATGGTAGAGGAAAGAGGTGGGTGAGACTCAATGTGTTGTTAGGGATGCAAGGTGGCTATCACACCAGCAAGAGACAAGTGTCATGAGGAGGTTTCTGTTAAACTTTGAAATCTATCTTTTATTTCCCTTTGATGTTTTATGCACTGAGCCGTTTCTTTTTTAGTCACCTTACTGCTGTTGGACAAAATAACAGAAACACCAGGTAAAAGTGTGTGTCAGCTTTGAAGCGAACAAAGTGCAGGCACGATCATGACCAAAGGGACGCTAAGATATCCAACTGTACCTGCTCAGCTTAAGCATGTGAATGGAATATTTTTTCTCAACCAAGAATATGAAATAAGATCATGTCAGGGTGTAAACACTATCAACAGGCAGTAATTTGCACCTTGTTGTGCCATGCTAAGTGACAACAGTTCATTCACATGACCAAAATAGGAGTTTTCTGACTTTTTTTTGCAGAAAAATTAGCCCATATGGTGAGCACAAGGTTGAAACATCTTACAGAAAAGGACATAAACGCAATGGCCTTCCTTTTTACCCCACAAATCCTTTATTTTTTATTCTAGAATGATTTATTTCAGCTCTTATATTGACATGAAGTGTCAATACAAGAGCTGTCAATACAAGAACTTCACACGGAGGCTCCGGTTTAGACCCCATGTGTTCCTTTGGCAATGGGTCTAACCTTAAATAAATGACATTTATGGAGGCAAATATCACAAAAGGTTAAATTATAGATATCATATTGAGGTGGCAGAATGTCAAACATGGACCAACTGCATTTTACTTGCAAGTTATCAAAAGATAGACGGACATAACAGGACTTTTCTTTTCAAGAACACCAAACCTTCCTAATAAACTGACCACAGAATAATTAAGGTGAAGCCTTGATAGAAAATTTTCCACAAAGAGGTATTTTAAGAATTGCAGACTGCCCTGTGTCAGAAACAGCTTGTATCCAGGGCAACACACACAAATGCACAAGTTGGTGCACCAAACCTGAGCAAACTGAGCAATGGAGAAAAAAATCAAGTCTGAGTCACTCTGCCTTGTTCAGTCATCCAGAAGCACTTGTGAGGACAAAGGAAACCTTCAGCCAACAATGTTTACTGTAAATAGTAGGGGTAGATGATATGGCCGAATTTTTCTATCATGGTATATGTCACTTTATATCATGGTAATGGTTGTATATCTCAATACAGTACATGCTGTACTATATTTTTTTTATTTGGGACTTTCATACAAACTACAACAAAAAAAAACTGCTTCCCATCGGACAACACTTCCAGGTATTATTATTTGCAACTTCACTCTCCTTTATGTCTGCCCAAATCACGTTACCCTGCAAGGCGGCAGGGTTCATGAGATCATGCAAGAATCCAGTCCTGATTTGCTACATACCCTGCCTCGAATTGGTCTCATGGTAGAAACGGTTTTGCCAAACCTTTCTGCTGGGCACATTTCTACTGTCATATGTCACACAGTATATACTGGCATTTCACCCAGACCTATAGCCAGTATTGTGGATCTGTATTGATCATATGGAAACAACTAGGGATTGTCCCACTTGATTTGATCAGACCAAAGTTGTGAAGTGCAGAGTATTCGAACTGAACTATTAAGTGTATCTTTTCCTAAGATGTATCACACTCTATCCTCTGTTCTGAGCTCCGTTCATGTTCTTTTGAAAATTCATATACATGGTGTTAACTCTCTGACCTCATGTGACCTACACTGCTAAATGATAGTTTATAGCAGTGGTTTTTGAACTTTTTGTGCCCTTTTTGCTTCTATAACGTGTTCACTCTTATCACGACGTAAGACAATAAAAATAAGAACAAATAAGACAAGTAGCTTTTGTGGTACTGTCTACTGACAGGTTTTTTTTTCCTCTTTTCTTTCAGTTGTAGGTCGTATTCACTGGTGCTTTGTTGTAATTTGCTCCCACTGACGGCTTTCTCCTTTTAAATGTTATCATCCCTCACACTGGCTGCCAATCAGGGCTTTTGATGCGTCACACACTTAGAATTCCCATGTGCAAACGGTGACAAATAGGTTCCCAGTTAAGGTTTTTTAAAAACATTAAAATTCAATTCAATTCAATTCAATTCAATTCAATTCAGTTCCATTCCATTCTATTCCATTCCATTACAATTTTT